CTCAGCCATCTCATTCTGCCCCAAGACCCTTCTGGAGCAGGGCCACTGGGCCTCCCAGCACATCTAGGGACTGGGCTATCTCTCCTTGACTAGGCCATCATCCTTGCAGGCAGCTCCAACCACTGCCAAGTTCTGAAGTCTCATCTGCGCCTACCCAGATGTGGGGTGGGGGTGGTTGTCCGGTGGGGTTGTCCTGTGTCTACCCCAGCTGGTCGGGGGTGGTCCTCCCAGCTCCCACACTTCTCCCCAAACTGCCCCCCACTGCCCCATCCAGGCTGAGCCCTGACTTTCTTCTCCCTGCTCTGGGCCCTCAGCTGCCCCTCTTTCTGGTGCCTGAGTTGGAACCTCACTCCCCTCCTGCTCAGACACCACCCATGGCTCCCTGTGAATCCCCAGCTGGGCACCACAGGCCTGGGAGGACCCACTCCCAAGAGCACAGACCAAAGAATGCACCCCTCTCCCAACACTTCCCACCTCTGGGCCTTTGCATGGGCCTGACTCTCCACCAGGTATGCCCTTCTGCCTGCCTGAGTAAACCCTGAAATATCTTTTGCAGAAAAGGTCCATGACAGAATGGACCGGGAAACCTTCCTCACATCTCAAAGAAGACCCCTCCAATGGGCTCCTTCAGGCCCCTCTGATCCTGCACAGGGCTGAAATGGTCAGCAGGGTGTATTTCTTAAATGAACAGACAACAGGCTTCCCAGATAGAGAAAGGATGGAAGGAATAGGGTTGCGGACTCCAGAAGAGGTGATGTGACGTTTTGTAAGAAAATCAGCCTGTTTCCCTGCATCAAAATACGAGGCCCTTGAGGATGGGCCTCACCACGGGGCTGGAGCAGATCCTTGCAGGTGGTACTCACAGGGTCCAATTGTAAGGCCCCTGCCCTGCCCCTCGTGGCACCCTGTCTAGGAGGGGGCTGGGTGGGCTCTGTCTCCATTCACCAGACAAGAAAAGTGAGGCCCAGAGAGGGGAGTCAGGACACCCCCTCTCCATGCCCCACTTCCGAGTCAGCAGTCACAGAAGGGGTCCCTGGGGCGGAAGCACGGGCAGGTGCCCCCAGGAACCCAGACTGCAACAAAGGCCACCTGCTGTGTGGCCCAGCAGACCACCCAGGCTGAAAAGCCAATGTCAGGACTCCCAGGAGGACCCTCCAGCTCACAGCTCCTGGGACCTGGGAAGGTACAAAGCTACCCTCCCCTGGCAGCTAAAAGGATACCCCAGGAGAAAACCCCAGCACCACTACTTTCCTGCTGCGTGGCCCCAGGAACGTTCTGTCGCCGCTCTGTGCCTCAGTTTCCCCCCTCACAGGGCTGCTGTAAGAAACAATCACGGTCATATGGACAGAGCCCTCAGTACAAAGCCTAATATCCAGCAAGTGCTCACTCAATGACTGGGAAATCAATGACGCTTGCACTTCTCAAACCAACTTCCTGTGTTCCTGCCACCATCTCCAGCGCTCCCTGCGTTCAGATTCACTCTCTGTTTGAATCAAACTCCTTTGTACTAGGAGATGTTAATTGTTACCAAGACTATGAAGACCAGAAGCCACTGCCACAAACATCAGAGGGAAAACATTAAAAAAAAAAAGACACAATGAAAGTAAAAACTTACTAAATTCAATTATCACTGGATACAGTCGCCTTTTAACTGGTTCTGCTCCTCATTAAAAAGGGAGATTAGCAAGTGGGACCTCGTTAGCACTCAGAGGAGACTTTCTCCTTGCAAAGGTCCAGACCTCAGGGCGAGAAGGAATCTGGGAGGGTCCTGACCCAACTCTGCTCCCCTGCTCCCGTCCCAGCATCCAAGACTTGCCCTCACCCCAGATGAGGACCTTGGCACCTGAGAACAGCTGCTCCCAGCTAAAGTATCTTTACCAGCCAAAGCCTGAGGCTCCCAGAGGAGCAGCACTGCACCCCTCACCTGGGGCCGCACAGCGACCCCCTCAGTCGGATGTGCATCCGGCTCCGGACCCCCGCCCAGTGTCTCATCCTTCGCCCTGCCCCATCCTTGTCCCAGCTTTACATCACCACCCACCTCCCACCACCCCACTGCTTAGTTCTTGGCTAGTTTTTGCTAACTCCTTACATTCTTAAATTCACGAAAATTAGTTTAATCCTGAAATCAATGAAATGTTGTCAAATTCTTCAATTTATCTCTACAAGAAACTTTTCAGCGCCACCACAAACCGCCACCATCTCCCGTGACTCTGACAGCAGAATCCATGGAAACGGAAGGAGGTGAATGATTATGTTCCAGGAGCCATTGCCTCCGTGCCTGGAGCCGGCTCTGCCTTCGTGGAAGAGGACGAGGAACCAGGGGCAGGTGTTCACATAGGGAGGCACCAGATGGAGCCTCCCCACCCTTCGCCAACCCAAGGGGACAGCTCCCCTGCAGGACTATTCGGGTGGTTAACACCAAGTCCTGCTGCACGTCTGCACCCAGAAAAGCCAGTGATCCACCTAGTGGGGGGCCCACGGCGCTGTATCTGACCCGAGACCAAGAAGGCCTGCGATAGGGCGGCAAGCTCCGTGGGCCCTCCCTGCGCTTTGGGACCTGGGGGCAGCGGTGGCCCCTCTCTGGGCTTCTGTAGCCCTACTGAAAATGAAAGGGACGGCGGGAAAGGAAACAATGGGGCCCATCCAGAACATCTCATTCCTCTGCTCTGGGTGGGTGTTTCCTCACTCTTCACCCCTCCTCCCTGGAGGCAGCCCCCCTCCCCACAGCCACACCCTGCTCAGGGCCTGCTGTCAGGAGGCCCAGAGGCTCCCCTTGGGCCTGGGGAGCAGAGCAGATAAACAAGTGGGGGGAATGTAGCAGACAGGTCTGGGCCCTGGCTCCCCTGAGCCCCTGGCTGGGCTCCCGGGCTGGGTGGGGAGAGCGGGCTGGGCCTTTGTCTGGCTTTCAAAAGCAGAGGACATGGGTGTCTCCTTCCCGGCGAGGGCAGGAGGCGGTGACTCCCACCCCGCTGCGGGTGTGGCGGTCACGGGTGAATCCCTGGAGGAAAGTTGAGGGCTCAGACAACACATCCAGTGGGGTGAGCAGGGCAGCCAGGCAGGGTGGGCTGGCTGGAACTCCGTGTCTGGGCCTCGGGCTGGGTGGGGACCTGGCCCAGAGAGTGGCAGCCGCTGGCCCCGGGACAGGGCAGGCGGGCTGCTGGGACACCAGACACCCCTTCTCCACCCCTGTGCACATAAACACACCCCACAACCCCCCAGTGCCCACCTGTGGGAGTGGGGGCATGGGGGACTCCCTGATGCCAGGAACAGAGGACTTCTGTCTGAAATGACCACTCACACTCACTGGGCACCTGCTCCTGCAGGAATCTGCTGCCACCCAGCAGCTCCTCACCAGACCCCTAGACCCAGGCCGCCCACCCAGCTCGCACCCAGGCCAGCCAGCTCTTGGCTACACCATTTGGGGCCCCACCTTGGGGACACTTTTCCTAGGAGGGGATGAGACCCAAGCTCCCCTATCCGAAAGTACAGGACCTCTGGTCTCACACCCAACCCAGACCCCGAAGCCTGGAGAAAAGCTCCCTGGCTCCACAGAACTCGGCACCTGGGGTGCCTGGACCTCAGGCCTTAGCAGGGGCCCCAGACAGCACTTGAGGCCCAAGGTGAGGGCAGTCAGGCAAGGCAGGACTGGCCGGTGCCCGCGTCCAGGCAGCAGGGAGCAGCGAGCTCACGTTGGGGGTGGGGGAGTGAGCTCAAAGCCGGCGGTGCCATGGGGAGGGGTCGCCCCCTGGCCCCAGGGAGCCCGCTTGGGGGCCCACAGGTGGACGAAGGCCGCGGCCCGCCCTGGGGCGCGGGCAGAGACACAGCACCCACCCCCACCCTGCTCGCGTCCCGGGCTGCCCCCAGCCGCT